ACTTAAATGTGTGTCTGATTCTAGTGCAATGTATATATGATAACTCGTTACTCTATCACCGTAAATTCTTTAACACGCATCAACACTGTTATGATATCAAATCTACCATAAGAAATTTTGTGAATTATTAAAAATTTTAAAATAATCTGAGTGAAAATTACACTATTACTCATTTTTTAAAATAGTTTATTAAGTTATTAGTAATCTATAGCTTCAGTGTCTTATTTGTTGATTGTTTTAGTGTTCATCTGTTTTTGTCTGCTAATCCTGCTATGGTATGATATGTTACACTTATGACACTGGGTTTCATTTACTTCAGTTTTGATTAATAAAAAATAAAAAAATCAATGCACCTTTTACTTAGTCAGAGTTTAAACTTAGTGCCAAATTCTTTTCTATTATTAAATCTTCATTATTTATAAAATTTATACATTTTTAATTTTGATTCATTGAATTTTCAAAAATTAAACTTCATAACAAAGTATTAACCCTCTAATTTCTGCCTTTATGACATATAAGTTCAGAGTAAAGTGTCAAAATAGTCCCCGATTATTTACATGATGTCATTTTAGTCTCAGAGTTTATGAAAATACCAAAATAGTCTTAGAATTTTGAAATTAATGTAAAATAGTTTCCATGGAGGACTGCTAGAGCTCAATTTTGAAATAACCAGGAACTATTCTGACACTTCTATAAACTCTATAAATAATCGAGGTCTATTTTGACACACTACTATGTAAGTTCATCTCTCTTAACAAGATGACTAAGCAAATTCATGTAAATTTCTAATATGAAAAAGGTTTACTCTGCCAATAAAACTACTCATAAAAAAAATTGGAGTCCACTTTACCAAAATGACTCAATCGTACATTTTTCAAATAAAAATGTCTTCTTATTTCTTAGGAGTTTAATAGTAGTCTTCATCAATGCTGGTTGATGCAGATATGAAACGGCCCAAATGTAGTTGGTACATAAATTGAGGAAAAACCCCACACCAACTCTAATAAATAATCTTATTACGGCCAACAATCACAATCATAATCAACATTAATCTTCTTTGTTTCCGACCAATTCATATATATTTGATGATGAACTGAAGTTATCTTCCTTCTGCCTCAAAAAACTGTTCTTCAAACTCGATGCATCAGCCAATATCGACGAGCTTAGTTGGATGACTCCATTAATACAAACAAGCATGGAGGAAGAACTCATAAAAAGTGAGCGGACTCGGTTGGAGTAGCTCGTTTAAGGATTCAAGTTTAGCGGATCTAGTCGGATGAACTCGTGTGAATTCTATCGAGCATTGGAGGTTCTCATGAGGTTCTTCAAGGCAGAGAGAGGCTCTATAATTTTCATAATTAAGTTGACTAACAACTATAGAAATTGGGACCTACTAACCACCATTTTCTAAAGATTCGAGATCAAGTGAGAAGAAATGCTAATTTCAAGTCGAGTTTAGACTTTGAACAAATAAATCATTGGTTTAAAGTCTTGCAAATGTGGTGTGCAGCTATGATTAAAATAGCTTAAATTTTTTAATCGGAACCAGTCTCAAAAATCATTTGATTAATTTTGAGATGAACTTTTAATTGCCTATTTCATATAAATTCATGGTAACCAAATGTGGTGTGCATCTCTTTTTAGGATATGTTTGGGGCTGTGTTGCGATGGTGGTGTGGTGCCGCATCGTAGTTTTTTCTATTTGGCAAAACAGTGTTTTGTCTGCGTTCTCAAAAAGGTGCAGCTGAAAGCTGCGTTTTCCCATCAGACTTGGCTACCTGCGCTGGTGGCCAGAAAACTGCGTCTGACTTTAAAAAAAATAAATAAAATTTGGCAATAGCCACCACAGTCTTTTGTACAACAACTTCTTCAATAACTTCATAGCTTCTTCTTCAAACAAATGCGCCTGCCCCAAACAGACTTTTAGTCTCTCATTTTGATATAATTCAACAATAGCAATAATATTGATCTCTAAAATAATTTCAAATATAATATTTTGTTTTTTTTTCTCATTAAAAATTTTAAAAATTTTACTTTTATTTCTCAAAAATTTTTTTTTAATAAATTTATTTATTTTGTAAAAATTAATTTTTTTTTTTAATTTGCAAGGAAAAAGAATATACAGTTTTAGTTGATCTTGTAAGGAAATTCTTTTACAAACTATTTTTAACCGAAAAATCTTATATTTAATCAGCAAGTAAAATATTAAGAAAATCTTGTGTTTCGGATAAAATTATTCAAAATGAGACGACATTCTATTTAAATTATAAGGTATCTAAATTTAAAAAAATATATATAATTATCGTTTGGGATTATTTTAAAATGCAAAAATATTTAAAATTTATTGATGTTTATCAAATATTTATATTTTAAATGATTTTTTTTATCAGAAGACATATTTGTTCGTTTTTTAATAAAGATAACATATTGTAATTAATTTATTATATATATATATATATATATATATATAATCATAATATCTAATATTATTAGAATAAATATGTATTTATAAATTATATTACTGAAATAAGTAAAATATTTTGCTGTATTTTTTCATGATAAGCGTAAGATTATTTTCAATTTTAAATTTTATAATATAAAATTTTAGGAACGCGAATTTGACATTTGAAGATAAATTTATTTTTATTTAATAAATAAAAAAAAACTATATTTGAATTATTCAAATAATTTTAAATTTATATTAATTTTTAACTGCATCAGGAGATTTGAGGTAATTTTAAATTTATATTAATTTTTAACTGCATCAGCCATCAGGAGATTGAGAGGAAGAGAAAAACAATTGAATTTCTTTTACTTGTTCCGTTATCCAATAAGAACCAAAAGTGGTTCCTTTTTTAAATTTGTGTTGGCTTTTCTGGACGAGGGCGGCTAATTTTAAGAAAAAGTGTTCAAATTTTCAAATAATTAACATACATACATACATACATACATACATATGTATGTATGTATTTATGTATGTTGAATCCTAACTTGTCTTTTTGTGAGTACAGTCTGAGAGTCGGAATTGAAAGAGGCGAGAGTAAGAGCACACGGTAATTTTCTCAGGAAAAAGACCAGACAAAGAATAATGGTTTACGATGACTTGTGAGTTTAAGTGAATGTTGTCGGTCAACGAGTGACCGATTGTATCAGTTGCTCGTTTGAAATCCGCCTAAGTTGGTCTGAATACCGTCATTCTTTTTGTTAAGAGGTCTGGCCTATATGCTCTACAATATATGTTACTTCGCCCAATTGGTCATGGGTCAATTTATTTTGTCAGGTGAGTCGTGGTTCACTTGTTGTCTCATGTCTTACAGGACTTGTGTCTCGTGTATGATCAGTTCATTGCCTCGGCCGGATCTCCCCTCTCGCATGATTCTGGGCGGATCTTGTTGGTGTCTATGCGGGATATTTTGACGAGGCTCGCTGTCGAGATAATTCGTGCCTCACCCTCTGCAAATCTTTCCGCTATCAAGTGAGGAATCATTTTCGGAGCCTTGAGCTATCCCAGTTTTAGAGATGCGATTTCTCATGCTTGACGTTGAATTGTCGGTTGATCACTTACCTTGAATGGATGCTTCGTATTCTCAGTCGTTCGTTATCTTTGAGATTTGTGCGGGCAATTTTGGTGTATACATATTAGTTCCCCAAGTCTTCATGTTCCTTTATGATGTTGGTTGCGATAAGGATAGAGAAATTATTAGTTAATTGTGTTACAACAGCTAAAAAGAATAATTTAATAATCACTTCTCCCTTTTATTTATGTGTCATGCGTGTCTTATAAATAAGGCAAGAAACTGGGTTATTCATTTGATGTCGATTTTTTTTACTGCTAAGTAGGCATCATGTCGGGCGGTATGAGCAAAAAGATGGTCGGCCCGAGCCTATTGACCTGGCGAGATATTCCCCCTGCTCAGGCATCTTGTCTAAAAAAGAAAGTGATTAGAAACGAGAAAACGAGTGAGACAATCGGCCCTGATTTGGTCGATCTGGTTGCTTCTTCCTAGACCCGAAGAGTGGTCACCGAAGAGGTTTCTCCGGACACCCGAAATTCCTAGCCCGAGTGACGATAGGGTTGTGTGGGACCCGTCTGCCCTGTCCAAGGAGGGGGGCGGTTGTCGATCGCGGTAGCCAGAGAGCGGAGGCAGCGGCTGGCGATTGCATTAGTTCGAGAGCAGGCAACTAGCCCTTTTCCAGTATCCTCGTAAGGAAAGAAGAGGAGGCCCCCTATCGGGAGAGGAAGGTATTCACAAGACTTGATTGGAGATAGAAAGACTCATGAGTTGCATAATTACTTGATATTCCTTTCAAATGTAAAGATGTTGATTATGACGGAGGATGTCGAAGGTATCCGACAGTCGAGAGATGTGGTTGATTCGCTCCTTGTCATTGCCACTGGGCCTCTTGATGTGATCACCCCTCCTTTCCTGTTCATTGACGAGGTTGCATGATCCCAGAAACCAACCGTTCACCAAGACTCCCTCCTGGGTCGATGGAATGTCAGGGTTAATGACTTCTTATAAGCATCTGGAGGCCGCCGTTCAACAACAGTCGGTTTTTGTCGCCCAATTGGATGGAGAAGTTGTGTTGCTCCAAGGTTCCTAGAACAACGTCTTTGTCGAGATGATATACATCCGCGATTCAACAGTCCTAAGTTGATTCCATAATGAGGCCAGTCAGATGGAGCGGATTAGGATAGGTGGAGAGATGGTTCTCGAGAGGTTGCTTGAGAAGGGATATGCCACGTCTGAAGCCACGGAGGATCCCTTTACTAAACACTTCATCTGAAACTTTTAAGAATGTTATTTGTAATAAAATAATATTTTGGGAGGAATTTGAAATAAGAGTTGGTGCATTACTTATCCTTTTGTGTCCCTTTGATTTGTGTGTTTGCTATATAAATAAGGTCAGGGGACACTTTTTTTAGTTTTTGCATTCTATTCTCTTAGTTTTTTGGTCTCTTCTCCTTCTTTATAATTCGTTCTTTTCGTCCAACTGCAATGGCCCTGAAATGTTCTCTGGTTCTCTTTGTCACCATGTGGGCGGTCGATTCCTCCCTTCTGACTGATCGGGAGGCGAAGAGCCTGCAAGATTTTTACGTATCGGGTACCAAGATTACCCTTTACAAGAAGCTAGTCGTGTGGCACCCGACAAACGATGTTAGTCTTGATCTGGTGTTCTACCAGAATCAGTATATGTATGGCCTCTGGTTGGCTCTATGGCCGAAGCTTAGAAGCGTGCTGACCAAGTATGGGGTCATTCCGACCCAAATTCTTCCGAACGCCTAAGGAATAATGCTTAGGGACGGGAGAGAGAGGGGGAATGTGTGTAAACTTTATTCATGAAATAGACCATATATTTATAGGAATGAATCATTGTACAATTACATGATGTACCCTAAAGTACTAGGTACTGAAGGGATATTTCATTTTGTACATGAATTCGACCCGTGGGGCCCATAGATGTGGTCTGGCGTTGTTAGGCTTGGAGGTCGTTAAGCTGGGCGGCTACGCGGCCGACGGTCCTTAAGCTGGGCGACTATATGAGTTGAGCAGCCATTTGAAGCCGAGCTGCTATAAGACCGGGCTGCGGATGGTTCGAGCGGCACTCAAGTGAGGCGGTTGCGAGGCTGGACAGTTTTTGGTCCGAGCGGTCCTCAAACCGAGCAGTTGCAAGGCCATACTATCATTTAAGTTGAACAGTTATGTGATCGAATGGCCATAAGGGACGGCTACTTACTGAAGTTCCACATTAACCACCTTGGAATTGACGGCTCATTTCTTTTTCTCGATCTATTTAGGTTGGGAAGTAGTGGGCTCGTCCTAGTTGGTCTGATGGGTTGGATCCTTCAAGGAAGACCTTCCTCATATTCATCTGAGGCGTCCTTTATCCGAGGTACGAAGGACGGCCTAGTTAGCATGCGAATTGGGGTCGCCCTTGGTAGGCCCCGCGGGGCCATGTCACAACCTTCGCCGTCCATAGGATGTCTTTGCTATTTGTGGTCCGTAGAATTATTTTAATGATTGAGAATTTCTACTTAAAAAACATAATTTTTTTTGTTTGGGATTTTTTTTCTCAATATCATTACAAAACTAAAATCGCTTAAATATTTGATAAAAAGCATTACTTTATTCTTTACGAAAATTTAATTATTATCCTCATCGAATCGAATTTCAATTGAAGGAAGCGGAGAAGCTTATCCCGTTCGCGCACCACATCCTCCTCCCATGGCCGCCGTCTTCTCCTCCGTCACTCCCCGACTCTCTCCGGCCCCCCG